TGTAATTTTGCTTGGTTATTCTTCTTTGCTACTTTAATTCTACTAATTTCCTTTTATTCCTTAATGGGATCTTTTTTATCTCCCTTTTCTGTGGTTTTTCAAGTTTTACTTTTTTTATACTACCAACTCCCACCCCTTCCATCTTCACTAGTATAACCATTGATTTTTTTTAATCATTAGCTAATTCTATGCTATTACTGTTGAATTTGTTAGTGGAGGTATAGTTGTTGCATTCAGTAGATATTTACATCCCTATTTTCTTTGTCTACGTGTTTATACTATAATTAGAGAACACCTTTCTATGGTTGGGGTGGTACATTACTGGTTCTGATGCTGTCTTGGCTTGTATGTATCTCAATGTCCTCCCAAAGCCCCATGCACTCATAGATGGGACTTGTCTGAGGTGGCTGGGTCTAGGGTGTGTGAATATCAATTAAGGGTGTGATAACTAGATTTGCCCACCAACTGACTTGGCATTATTCTGGATGTGGGTAAGAAGAAGCCCTACCCTGGCCGTGGGTGGCACAAATCAATAGGCTTATGGCCTGAACGCAATATGAGGGGAAAAGAAGGCAGGCAAGCTTGCTGCCTCCTGCCTGCTCTGCCACCCTGCCTTGGAGCCTGCTGACTGTGGACTGAAAATTACACAAACCGTGAACCTGTGAGATGAAATAAAACTTTCCTCCTTTAACTTGTGGGTATCAAGTATTCTGTCTCAGCAATGAGAAAGGTAACTAAGTATGTCAATATCCGGTTTGTCTTTGACAGCAGTATTATTGATTTTGTTTCTACTTCCAAGGTGGCATATTTGCTATGAACTGGCTTTCTCTATATGCCAATATCTGGACTGACTCTGTGTCATTAACAACATCGCAGTCCCCTCCTGAGGAACTGGATGCCAGGCTAATTGCACTGCATCCATCCCTCTAAATTAACACATTCCTGTCGGCCTGAACCACTGGTGGTTATTTAACATCACATGATGGAATTCGAATCAGCTTATCAGCAGTGTGACATACAAATTACAGTCCCATCATGTATGTGTTAATGGAGGTGGTCAGATCTTGGGACAGAGGCAAAGATCTGTAGCTACGTTAGCTATGCCCAGAGTGCATCACTGAAAACCAGATACTAATGAAACAGGTCTCCATACTAGCAAGACTCTTTCCACTGTAATTAACCCATAAACCTAACCCCACCCCCCAAAAAAACTGAAACATAAGACAAGGCAACAAAATGCAAAGAATGAAGAGTCCATGAAAAGGGGCCAAACAAACCCAAGATACAAAACACTCTATTTTAAATATGGGAAGCAGAACCGACCACTATGAGCACAGAGTGTCAGAGCAGGAGGGTAGGGCCGTTGCAGGTTACCATGTCTACTCAGAGAGAGCTTAAAACCAACAAGGGACCGTGGAAAATGGACCCAGCGCCTGCTAGAGGACACACAGCAGACCAAGATCAACTGGAATTTAGTGAAAAATCAATACAGCACAAATGGCATAAAAAAGCTATTTACAGAAATAATAGAAAATTTTAAACACACAAGGAATACCAGCAACATTCCTCAC